CCATCTGAGTTTGGCTTAAAGCTAAACAAAGATAATGGAGGAACGAAGGTCGACAACACTCTTTACAAGCAGATTGTCGGGAGTTTAATGTATTTGACTGCAACAAGGCCTGATATAATGCATGCTGTAAGCGTCATTAGTAGGTACAAGGAGTGTCCTACAGAGCTTCATCTCTTGGTTGCAAAAAGAATTTTTCGGTACTTGCAAGGTACTAAGGAGTTTGGGCTGTTCTACAAGAAGGGAGAAAAATCAAATTTGTATGGCTTTACAGATAGTGATTACGCAGGAGATTCAAATGATCGGAAAAGCACATCGGGATATGTATTCATGATGGGGACAGGAGCATTTTCATGGTCATCAAGGAAGCAATCAATCGTGACTTTATCAACTACAGAAGCTGAATTTGTTGCTGCAGCAGCTTGTGCTTGTCAAGCTATTTGGTTAAAGAAGATTCTCAAAGAGCTACAGTTCAAGGAAGATGAGCCTACTCTAATTTATTGTGACAACACTTCAATAATAAAGCTATCAAGAAATCCTGTTCTGCATGGCCGAAGCAAACATATAGATGTGAAGTATCATTTCTTGAGGGATCTCACGAATGATGGAGCCATTGATCTAATTTACTGCAGAAGTGAAGACCAAGTTGCTGATATTTTAACAAAATCTCTCAAGTTTCCTGCATTTCAGAAGCTAAGAAAAATGCTTGGTGTTTGCACTTCGGATACCTTCAGTAAACTGTGTTGAAACATCAGTTTAAGGGAGGGATTGTTAGAAAAAATCAAGGAGTTGTCCTAGTCTTTAGGAAGTTTGTTTACTGCTGTTCCTAGTTAGTTGCTGTACATGGCCTACTTTGGCTTAGTTTTACGAGTAAGTTGAGCCTGCTATGCAGTCACTGCAGTTCCTAATTTCATGCTTTAGTAGTTCCTGTTTTCTTGCTACTATCAGTTTGTTTACTTGCCTATAGAATGGCTGTTTGGTTTATCAATAAATATGAGCAGATTAATATACTCTTTCTAGCTCTTATTGTGTGTAAAAGTATATCTCTTCTTCATTTTGTAACAATATGTGTCATGTACATTTAAATAAGTAAACTGTATCTAGTTGGCCAGAGCCTTTGCAACTCACCAGGGTCGAAGGTTCAAGTATTGCCATTGGAAAGATTCCCCCCCCCCATGCAACTCACCAGGGTCGAGGGTTCAAGTATTGCCATTGGAAAGATTCTCCCCCCCATGCACCTCCAACATACTCCAAAAAATAAATAATAAATTGTATGAGTGAAAGCAAGAGTGGGACCAAGAGCACAAAAGATACACATTTAAAAATGATATTAGTCCCAAAGCAACTATAGAGGGTGTATTTATATAAATTTGTTTGGCTACATATATTTTATGGTCACACAAGATAGACAGCCATGTGACTTGTGTTCTAATATCACCTTCTAGAAGTGGTTTTGCACAAAATCATGTTGCTTATCCCATGGGAGCCCACTAGAAGATGGCTTTAAATTATGTTGGTGCATGCTCTCAGCCGACCAATGGAAAAACTTGTACAAATTTGCCACCTTGTGCATGAGTTTGTTTGCAAGATGTATTTCATTTTCTGGAGAATCACTGTGCTCATTTGGAAAATATTAGATACACTAAGAATCAATTAGAAAACTGTCAAGAATTGGCCTGAAAGCACCAAGTCACAAATTTTTTGGTATTTGAAGAAGTATTTTATGATACTAATTGTTACAATCACTAAGGCTAAGCTACATTGCTTTCATTGCTCACCATAATTAAGTCCTATGGTTAAAATAGTTATGAGGTACAAATCCCCCCTTTTGGGGGCCACCTTAGGGATTTTATCTTGGTAAGTGCAGGGGCACTGAACCTCATGTGCCCAGGGATTAGCCTCAAACCATGGACTATGCAATCCATGTACGTCAATAAGCCTACCCATATGATGGTGGTGTGTTTACTTGAAAATCAATTGATCCATACGCAAATCATGTCTGTGACATGATGAACATGGTGGTTGGCTCATTGCCAATTACACTTGCAAATGATTGAAGTGGGTTCTGGGCCTAGATGTTATTGATTTTGGATATTTGGTTGTCATGTGAAAGATGGTTCCAGTAGCGCCGATAGGAGTGTGATGGTAGGTTGATTTCAGCATAAACGGTGGTCATCATAGTGGGGTGTGTGTGTGTGTGTGTGTGTGTGTGAGAGAGAGAGAGAGAGAGAGAGAAGGCCACTGCCGGCATCCCTTGGTCTCTTTTTATAAGCGGAAAGGAGGAGACCTAAAATACAAGGTAAAAGATTGGAATTGTCCCAAATGCCCTTTTTTATTGTACTATTCCTTGCATAGCATTTTGGTCCACATAAAATTTGGGAACAATGCTAATGCTACACTTCAGGGGACATTAGTGTTGTACTTCAGGGGAACAATGCTAATTTAGGCTTTTTTTGCTCTAAAATGTATGTTAACATGCTGAATTGACTGCTTTTGGTCCATTTGTTAGGGTACTTAAGTCTGAAGGAAGATTCCTTTGCCTCAAACTGAGCCATGTAGAAGTTCCAGGATTTAAGCAGTTGTAAGTATCTTCAAGACTTAGCTTGTAAGCTCCTTCATGATGGTACATATGCTTTTTAAATTTTAGGTGATTGAGCATTTTTTTTCGTTCTATTTTATTTTCCAGCTTCTTATGTTTGCTTTAGCCATAATAGTGAGCTGCTGCATATCTTTCTGCAGGTATGATTACTACTCATTCTCGGTGATTCCAGCCCTTGGAGAGGTAGTTGCAGGTGATCGGGAGTCTTATCAATACTTAGTTGAGAGCATTCGTCGCTTTCCCCCTCAGGTTATGACTCTTAGAATCGCTTTACAATATTTTTGTATCTTTATATCATTGATATTGAGAGTTGCTGGGACTGAACCCTTCATCTTATAGTCATAATATTCATGCCTACCACTGGCATAAAAGCCTCACCAAAGCAGACAAGAATAACCAAAAATGGCTTACTGGATCATAAAGCAACACAAATAGGCTTGTAACTTGAGAAATACAGGGAGAAAAAAAAAGAGGGTACTATATATGAGAAACACTCCCAGCCGAACCTTTGAGAAGCCAAAAACTCATCCAAACTTGAAAAACTAGTATGGGTTATCCTCCGAAAGCCCTAGTTGGTGTCGCGCCCAGATTTTGATCCTCAATTGTAATGAGGTATTAACATCTGGCACCCACAAGAGATGTTCCCAGCACTGGTTTGATAAAAACAACGCCTGATCAAAGATCTCAAATAAATAGACCATTTTTTTTTGAAAAATAAAAAATTGAAAAAACATATCAAATGAGCTAGAAACTTTGGGAAAAATTAGCAGTAACTACCTCTCTTCAAGTTGAGCATACTGATTATATTACTTCTATATTTTTTGCATATCAATGACGAAAAAGATGACCAGAAAACAAAGAGAAAGAACGAGAAACCCTTTTCTGCAATACAAGGAGGATAAAACTTTGATATCATGTTAAGAGTGAGAGACAATACGAGAGAAGGATGCGAGAAAAGGGGGAAACAGGATACGGCTATTGAGGGAGACCCTAAAAACAACATCTATCTAACAAAATAAAAGGTAAGAAAAACTACTATTTGATAGTAGGGCTGTTCAAAAATCCGTTCAAATTGGTAATCTGGACCGAACCAAACCGAATTGTACGATTTGGTTTGGTTCTATTAAGAATTGGTTCAGTTTCGGATTAAGAAATATGAGAACCGTAAAAACGGTTCGATTAATGGATTTTATAAAAAAACCGCGGTTCGAATGGAACCGAACCGAATTTTAAAAGATATATATATATATATATATATAATATCAAGTTTTATTTTTATTAATTGATTTTTTATAATTTTAATGATATTAGGATGGTATAGATATGTAATATTAAGTAATGCCTTAATATTATTAGTTTTTATCATAAGTTAAATGCAATTAGTTTGAGTAATTATTTTGTTAATATTAACAATTTATTCTCGTAAATAGAAATTTTTGGAACCGTAAACCAAACCAAAACCGAACCGTTTTTTCGGTTTAGTTCTGGTCCGGTTTTACAAGTGTAACGGTCTGATCTGGTTCTCAAAATCACAGAACCGTTAGAATCGGTTCGGTTCTTGGATTTTCTCATAATCGAACCAATCCAGAGCGTGTACACCCCTATTTGGTAGAACATGGATTTGGTGTTGCTTGGGAGATTTGGACAGAGGTCGATGAATGAGCTAATAAAAAGCACAGCCTGCTACCACAGGTTGTAGAATCTGGCTGGCATGTTCTACCCGATCATTGGGAGAAACAATATTGATTTTTATTTTCCATTTGTTTGTCTTATTCTAAATATACCCATTCTATAATTTCTACGTTGATGATTGCAGGAGAAATTTGCTTCAATGATTGCAGATGCCGGATTTCAAAAGGTTGAATATGAAAATCTTGTTGGGGGAGTGTGCCGATCCATTCTGGATTGAAGTTTTAGAAGCATCGTCATGAAGTCCGTTCAGTCCTGTCAATTTTGTCTTGTTCTTAACACCTGAAGTCGGTAATTAGCTTCAAAAATTTTTGCCAATCCATTCTGATGGGTGATTTTTTTTATCATTATTTAAAAGTAGTTTTGTTCCAATGTTTGATTCATTCTCTCTTCTGATTTTGCTTTATATATAATAAAATATGTTATTTGAAAAACACATTCACTTGTACAGCATTAAGAAAAATAAAAAGAGAATTTGCGTAATGCCGTTTGGGCCAAACCAATTGGCCAATTTTGTAGGATGATTGACATTGCGTCATTAATATTACGAAATTATCCTTTTAGAAATATAAAAATTAGAGAAGTTGCCCGTAAAAGTTTTTTTCCTCAACACCTCTCTGTTCTCTGAGATTCCCTATGTTTTTTTTCTCTACCATGTATATATATATAGGAGAGAATTGCCTACTCACTGTCCATCTCTAGGACAGTTTGTCAATTCTTTCAACCTTCTCAGCATATGTTGAAGTTGTTAGAGAAAAACAATAGAAACCCAGGTGATAAAAAGTACAAATAAGCCTGAATCATTGTCAATCTTTTTTGTTGAGGCGCATTGTAATTAATTTACTAAATTTGTTTCTTCGAACATCAATTATGGTTTCATTTCACCGGTGAAGGGAGAGGGTGAAGCTGAAGGTGGGTAGCGAAAGCCACAGAAAGTGAGGCATTCGCAGATGTCTTGATTTGGAGGACGAGGATGGCATTTGCATTCCTGTGCTGTGGTATTGCCTGTGCTCCCATGTCCAGACCGCACCAGTAACTAGCATCTTTCTTACAACTCCCCCAATCCATCACTGTCACGGGGCACAACTTCAACTCTTGCCCTAAAATATGCAATTTAATTAAATCAATTTGTAATTTTAACAATCTATATTATATATTAAGTAAAAGGGAGTTTTTAAAGCCAAACTTTATGGGAGCTCTAATTTCTCAATTTAAATTTTTTGATTTTTTTATTTAAATTTTTTTTTTTTTAGCATTTATTAACTTCTCCGAACTCCCAAGTCTTACTCTCATAATAACACTTTAATACATTAAGAACAAACATAAAAAAATTTCTTTGAAATTCAACACATATGAATTCCTTGAAAAGTCCCAACACATATGATTATTATCCCTCATAATAACATTTTAATGCATTAAGAACAAGCATAAAAAAAAATTCTTGAAAAGTCCAACACATATGATTATTGTCAAAATATTAAACTTTAATATAATATAATAAAAAAAAGACATTTAATTTCTTGAAAAGTCCAATACATATGATTATTATCAAAATATTAAAAAAGAAAAAAAAATAAGACAGTTAAAAAAAATTAAAAATCATAATTCACATATATAGATAATTATAAATACAATTCGTTCATAGCACGGGTGATATGTTAATTTAAATATATATAAAAGTGTAGTTTGAGTTGATAGTAATCTTAATATATTCACACATTGGTGGTCGTATGCTTGTTTATTTCCCATATTGATTTAATGATAGTAATTTTCTAAAGATTACATTGAAATATGTAGACGCCATGAGTACCTTGACAGTGAGCAGGCATAACAGAATAACCAAAGAGATGGCCAGAAGAAGAACTACTGATTTCATGCTCTCTCTCTCTCTCTCTCTGGTTGATTGCTAGGGCCAAGTATAAATTGACCAACAATGCTAGGTAGTTCAAAATTTTGTGGTTCAAATGGCTCAAATCACTCAAAACAACGTCGTTTTAAGTGTAAAACGACATCGTTTTGACAGATTTGAATCATTTGAACTACAAAATTTTGAGCTACCAAATATTTTCCTAAATAGACAGAATAACAAGTCAGCACTCCCAAATTTATGGTTAAATTTCTTTTTTCTCTCAAACAAATTTTGAAAGAATACTCAAACAAATTTAAAAAGAATAATCAGCTCGGGAGGGGGGGAGGGGAACAGCTTCAGAGCTGTTGCACTAAGTCTCAAATATTTTTATTTATTTTATTTTAACCAAATGGAACTAGTCTAGAACCACCCCCCCCCCTAGTTACCGCTAAAGAATTATCTACAAAATTAATCACATTTATTATTATGGGAATGACCCACATTACATTCATTTTGAATGCAAAGCAATTATGTGATTTAAACAAATGAGGTCCTTCACACTGTTAATCTGTCTAATTTGTTTTCACATAATATATATAGTGTTTAATCTCGTGTTTAAAAAAATATACATTGTGAAACTTATATAACCAAGCTTTTGAGTTTCAAAATCCAACTATCTTTTTAACACAATTTCGAACTTATAAAATACACAAAATTCATGTTAAATGATATTATTATTTTTGCCAATGTGGCAGTACTTTTCAATTCCTTTGTTTCATGACTCCTTTAAAACGAAGTGGATTAAATGAAATTATTGAGCTTGTTTGGTTTCGTTTTTCTGAAAACAGTTTTCAGAAAATTTTACTTTTTTATTTTTCGTATTTTTTTATTTTTAATGAATTTTTTTAATATTTTAAGCGATTTTTTAATTTTTAGATATACCTAACATAAATATACCTAAAAAGTAAAAAATTTGTGAAAAAAACCTTTTAAAAATTCACTAAATACCAAAAATACAAAAAAAAATATAAAAATTCAATACATTTTTTGTATTTTTATATATTTAATAATTTTTTAAAATATTTTTTCACAAATTTTTTACTTTTTAGATACATTTAAGTAAGGTGCATCTAAAAAACTAAAAAAAATGTTTAAAATTTTAAAAATATTCACTAAAAAAAAAACACGAAAAACAAAAAAACTCAATTTTTAAAAAACTTAATTTAGAAAACTCAAACCAAACACACTGACTTTTTTAGGATAAAAAATGCGTGTCTTATTTTTTTGAAAAAAAATTATGTAAGCAGCCGTATTTCAAGAAAAAACTTATTTTTATTTTTCAGAAAACACTTTTAAGAAAATTATACTTTCTTATTTTTTATTTTTTTTTTTGTTTTTACTGAATTTTTTTAATATTTTAAGTAATTTTTTTACTTTTTAGACACATCTAACATAAATACACCTAAAAAGTAAAAAAATTATAAAAAAAATCTTTTAAAAATTCACTAAATACCAAAAATATAAAAAAAAAATACAAGAATTCAGTACATTTTTTGTATTTCTATGTATTTATTAATTTTTAAAAATATTTTTTCACAAATTTTTTATTTTTTAGATACATCAAATTAAGGTGCATTTAAAAAAGTAAAAAAAATGTTTAAAATTTAAAAAATATTCACTAAAAACAAAAAAATACGAAAACCAAAAAATTCAGTTTTCAAAAAACTCAAACTATGAAAGTTATTTTTTGAATAATGGTATTTTCATTCTTTTAAATGATTACATTTGTTAGGATTATTAAAACCATTATTCTTGTTTTTGGTAAATGACAACATATCCAATTTAATTTGTTAAGATTATCCTTGCCGTTACTCCAATATTATTTCATTTATACTTTTTGGGTAAGGTTTCATAATTTAAATGCTACACATCTCATTCCTGGTTGTCAAATATAAATGCTATGATATGAACACAAAGTATACCATTAGATTTCCTCCCAAAAAAGAAAAAAGGAAGTATACCATTACAGAGAGGAAAGACCATCCATGGACAAGTTGGTAGCTCACTCCATCCTTTATTTTACTCTCTTCTTAGCTTTTTCTACTCTCTCTCAAGGTACAAACAACTCTTCTCAAATCTTAATTTAGTATTCATGTCTAATTTCAATTTATCAAATGAAAAAATAATTGTGCCACATTCTAACAAGTTTTGCCTAAAAAATATTCAAAATTTGAAACGTTTGAATCAAAGATACATTGTAATTCTGCAGATATTTCTAAGTAAAACTTCTTCTGCATACATAGCACATATTCAGAATTTGAAGTAGTGAGAGAGATTGCATGTATATGATTTTTGGATCATAATAAATTAATTGATGTGGAATTTTTTAGAAAATCATCTTCCAAATGCTTGTATCATAATTAATTCATAAAATGTTCTTGTATTTCAATAAGTTTTATTATTTTTGAACATTTAATCCATAAATCCTAATTCTCATATTTAAAATATTTTATTGATAATTTTATCTTTACAAATATTTTTTAAACCCTTAATAACTTAGTGATATGAACATTCACATTAAATAAATTTCACAATGGGAATGTTCACATCAATAGTGTAAATGTTCACATTATGGAACATTGACAATGTCAATGTGAATATTAATACACACGTTACTATTGAAATATAAAAAAATAATTTAAATTAAGTTGAATATAAGTAGGTAATGAAAAATTTATGAATAAATGCTACTTAATTGATTTGATTTAATAGTTTCAGGGGAAATTAAATTCTGCCCAACAACGATGACATTGCAAGGTCAGTGTGGGCCTAATGGAAACTTTGATTGCTTCCAAGTGATGAATTCAAAGTATGGAGCAGCTGGTATGGCTACGCATTGTCAATGTGACCCTGCTCCAGCCAATCAACACCTCTGCACGTGTCTCGTGCGTTGTGGGACCCAATATTAAAAATGTGATAATGTAATTTCAGATTTTGGTGTTTAATAATTTTATTTTGAAAAATGGTGTGTGATGCAGATGTTGAGGAGTTTCTGAATATCTAAATGTATTAGTAGGAAAATGAATAAATACTAGTACTATTTTGTTTAAGAATTGACTTTTATTTTATAATTTTTAAATGTTTTATAAAAAAAAAAATGCAAACAAGTTGAAGGAATATCTTGTTCTACTTTTTTTTTTTTATCAAAGAAATCAATTAAGATCCATTCATAGATAAACTAGAAGCAAGCAGGGGAGGGGGGCATGCCACCCAATTTACAGGAAGATAACCTCCTAGTCTAGCTCGTGCAACCTAGTTCACTGCACTATTAGCACTGCGAGAACACCATCTGAAAGAGAGACCACGCTTGTGTGCTAGAGCCTTGATATCAGCAACGAGAGCAGCACACTCCCAAGGAGGGGCATCCTCTGAAACACTCAGCTTGATTGCTCCTTGATTATCCCCTTCAACCTCCACTCGACTGAGATGCAAGGTGTCACACATAACGCAGGCCAAACAAATTGCCATCACTTCACCCTGAAGCACCGAAGCAATAAGGGCTTTCGTTGCAATCCCGTCGAGAAGTGTCCCTTGATCATTACGCAACAAAGCAGGCATCGCACCCACTTTTGTACCAGGTTGGATAGCCACATCACAATTGACTTTAAAAATCCCCTGTGCAGGGGAGACCCATGCTTGGTTGACACCATTTGCCTGTCTGAAAACACTGGGAGGGGCCGCCAACATCGCTTGGGCTGTCGTAAATTCCATGGCATCCCGAGCTGCCTTGAAAATTACTTCCGTTGGATCCACTGGAACATGGTTAAAGATGTGATCATTGCGAGCCTTCCAAATGTGCCAACATAGCCACAACATCTGACAGATGATTTCTTGTCGAGTTTGGGATATGTCAAAGCTATCCATGACCCTTCTAAGCCATATCGAAATTGACTGAACTTGTGAAGGATCAAACCGGAGACCAAGACCACTCCCGAAATGTGTTCGATAGATTCAACCTTAGCATGACAAATTTGACATAGATTCGTCTCTGCACACCTACGGATGTGCAAGTTTTGACGGGAGGCGAGATAATTGTTACACATCCTCCATGCAAAATGTTTGAGCTTAGAAGGGAGGGTCAGCCCCCAAATGAACTTCCATTCCTTATCAGACTAGCAGAATGAGGAGGACAGAGTCGAGTGAGAAAAGGTGGTCCCTTTGTTTACCATAACTACATACCCAGACTTGACT